CACACACACACACACAGAAGTGGTAAGCTTCGGCGAGAAGAAGAGGAAGAAGAAGAAGAAGAAGAAGAAGAAAGGAAGAAGAAGAAGAAGAAGAAGAAGAAGAAAGGAAGAAGAAGAAGAAGAAGAAAGGAAGAAGAAGAAGAAGAAGAAGAAGAAGAAGAAGAAGAAGAAGAAGAAGAAGATGGTGACTTACCTGTGCGACGGGCGCTGCAGGCCACGGACGGCAACGGGCGACGCGCGACGGGAGGTGGTGGCGACGGCCACAGACGACGAGGAGGACGGCGACGGGGGCTGGCACGGTCGACGACGAGGAGGACGGCGACGGGGACTGGCACGGTCGACGACGGCGAGGCCACGGGAAACTGGAAGTGGGGGAGGCCGACAGGCAAAGGCGGGAAATGGAGGACGACCGCCTCCCTCCAAATTTCAAAACGGCGGCCTCATCTGGGCCGCCGATCTGCCTCGATCAGCGGTCCGGAGAGGCCCGCCTCTTTGGAAGCAAAAAGGGAGGCCTGCGCCACCCGGTTCGATTTGTTTTTGGGCCAGGAGGCCCCCACAACCCGCGTGGGGGCCTCCTGGCCCAAAAAAAAATTGATTCGGGCCTTCCCCTCCAATGCGCTGTAGGCCGCCGGGGGGGAACCGAACCGGTCGACCGGCCGGTCCCACCGGCCCGGTTCCGGTTGGGGGTGGACCCCCCGGTCGGACCGGGAATTAAGCACTGCGTTTTACACTAAATTGATGAATAAACCACCAGCGCTGCGCTGTGCGCCTATTGCTAGGCCGCTGCTGTAAATAAAAGGTACTACGATCCCTCTGCCCCATTTCTTATTATTGCAGTATAAGTACAGCCACTCGACTGTGGGATAGGACGAGATGTCTCTGGAAAGTGGTACCGATTCTACCGAACCCTCCACCACTCTCAAGCGACCCTTATTGGTCTGACAGCTTCTACGCTCTCGAGGAAGTATTTGCAGAGCAATTACGGCGTGCTTCTTACAGGATTATAGAAACAGTACACAGAAGAATAAAGTGCCAGCAAACATAATGATAAGACGCAAAACATGTCTGAATTCGGAACACGAGAGCACACAAGGCCGCAGTAAAAAAAATCAGAGTACAGAGCAGAGTGGGCAAAAAACAGAGAAATCCTCTGAGGGCTTGAGGCTAACCAGGCCAACTCGGGGCTGTGGAAACGCTCCGCATGCCCAATGCCCATCACAAAAAGGGCTTGAAGCACCTGGCAAACCGCATGCTGTGACAGTTTCGATTTCTTAGAGCCGGGCAGAAATCCGCATTGGGAAAAAGAGCCTGGGAAAGCAAAGTTGAATCAACTGGCAAAAAAGTGAAGAGCAAAATAGGAGACCAACATCGGATGCAATCCAGAATGTGGCACAGCTACGTAGCACTACCGTGTTCACCCGAATACAACGTACGGTCATTATTACTGTATCTGGACTCAGAGTTGCCCCAAATACAGCTATATATTGTCACAGAACTATTGACTAAGAGCGTAAGCACGTGAAGTACAAGAAGAAATAGGATGAGCAAAGAAAAGAAAAATGAAAGGACAGACGGGCAAAGAGAGACAAACCAGACACAAAACACTGTCCTCTTATTCTTTGTTTCACTGTATTCTAATTTCTTTCAGTGTTTAAGAAAAAAAAAAATTACACTGAACAAAGGATAAAAAACAAAAAAACAAAGACACATTGAAATCATTCAGTTTCTCAAATTCTCAGTCTTCTTAACGCCTCCTCCACCGTGCCTCTAACATCCCCGTATGCCATAACAGCCCACTGCACTCTATGGGAAAGAGGCAGAGTGAAGGAAGAGGTGTTAAACACACGGAAGAGGAGCAGAAAAGGAAAACCAATAGGCAGAGGGAGAAAAAATAAAAAATGTTGGCACAAACATCTTCTTTCTTTTACTGCATTCTTCTTTGTTTCACAGTTTTGCAGTTTTGGTGAAGAGTCTACCACGTTCCCTTTTCAGCGCACCTGCACTTTCTTCTTCATTTTTCATTCTCATTTTCACCCTTCGGACTTTTCCTTTGAGGGTGTTAGGGTGCAGGGTACAAACAAAGTAAAACGACACGAACTTAATGACCGTACATTGTCTTCGGGTGAAGAAGGTAGTATATACGGTACCCCTTCCTCAGACGTCAGCCACAGGCTTGCCTGCTTTTCCACAACAGTTCTAGCTGTTAACGCCTGATGCGACAGCCTGTGTAAATGATGGCCGCAAGGAAGTGTGGAGCTTTGGTGGTCTATTGTTTTGATGTCTCAGCATACGTGGCAGTTAGTCCTCCCTGCCATCTTCACCCGAATAGAACACCCGGTCATTATAGCTGTATTTGGCACAACTTTCAGCCCAGATGCGGCGATAATTACCGGGCGTTCTATTCGGGTGAAGGCAGGCAGCAGTAGACCCCTGAAGTGGGGTGTATCACATCAGTGAAGAGACATGGGGGCCACACGGGGTAACGCATGCTGTGAGAGATTCACATGAGAAGAAAATTTTCTTTGTCTTCTCACAGCAGGATCTACCAACCTCGTCTGTAGTCCACGCATAGAAGGCCCCCTCCCGCTTTGGTCCCCCTTCATATTCTGCACTGTCAGCATCTTCTGCAGAAAAGAATCCACCCCCAGGATAAGTCATTTCTCGCCGAAGATAGTCCAGAACATCCCTTGCCATCGTCGCAAAATGTGTGTCTGAAGTTATCAGGAATGCATCCAAATACGCATTTGCCAGTTGTCCTTGATCGTACAGCATTTTCTCAAAATGAGGAACTGCACAGTAGGAGACAGCGCGCCAGAAAAACAGAAATGTCAATCCATACTAGGTTAGATTCTGCAGTGCTGCACAACCTGCTTAGTTCAAATTGCCAGCAAGTAACATTAACTCAATTGACATTAACATAATAAGGAAGGACACTCTTTCTATTTACAAAGATTCCCCAAATACCTAAAAGGAAAAGAATCATTGAAAATGTTTCCCCATCCATCCAGAATGCATAGAGGGCTGGTTTGGAAGCAGGAGCTTGACTGGCAGTTGTCCGCATAAGCGAAACAACCCGTGCTGTCAGGTTGCTTCCTTAACCATAACACATGGGATCATCAGAGCGCATTTTCTTAGCGTATCTACGACTTGCAGAGCAAAACGAAGTTACCAACGGGCTTAGCACAGTTGATACGAAGTTACCAACGGGCTTAGGACAGTTGATACAAAGTTACCAACGGGCTTAGCACACTTGATACGAAGTTACCAACGGGCTTATAGCTCAGTTGATACAAAGTTACCAACGGGCTTAGCACAGTTGATACGAAGTTACCAACGGGCTTATAGCTCAGTTGATACGAAGTTACCAACGGGCTTAGTACAGTTGATACGAAGTTACCAACGGGCTTATAGCTCAGTTGGTACAACCATGAACTGTTGAAAGGCAGACAAACCTCAGTTGAAGTCCAGACGAAACCAGATGAGCGAAATTCCTGAATTGCCTGTGGCCAGTAAGTTCCAGGACGAGAAAAAAAAAAAAGAGAGAGAGGAAAAAGGAGCAGACGGATGTTCCTCAAAATACAATTGAAGCAAGAGCATAAGGTCTTCTTTTGAAGGGGAAAAAAAAATAAAAAAGGAAAAGAAGAAACAGAAAAGCTGCAGAATAAGATGAGGAGGACAGCAGATGCTAGACTCAAATAAGCAAAAAATCTGACATAACTCTGATCATGCGACATATAACCATGGCTATAGGACATAGAGGGCAGACAACACTTTTCAGGGAGGTTTAAGAGAGAGAGAAAAAGAAACTGCACAGGTTGAGACTGCACGTGTGGATACCAAATGACTTCTAAATCTTCTGGTTTGAATCTTCTGATTGGAATCGTTGGGCCATTGCAACCTCACGGAGGGATGGGAAGACTTCATCCGCTTGCGAGCACAAGAACATTCCATTCTTTCCTTCTCCCTCGCCAATTCCCAGCGTGCTCCAGTTTTCTTATTTGCAATATGACAAGTGATGACACCATTCACACAAGTGGTGCTCAGTACTGCGTGCGCACTTGCGCTGAGGGAGGTACAGACTGCAAAACTCCAACCTTTGAATGCTGGAAGAGAAGCCAAGCCACCCAAGCCCCCTTCACCAGATAATGAAATATAAGGCAGTCACTGGGTGCCCAAGTGCTATTAATAACCAGGCTCATCCCTGGATTACAAGGCTATTAATTACCGGGTTCCGAAAATAGTTGGCAAACGCAAAAAGAAGGAAAAAAAAAAGAAAAAGAACATGAGGACAAATCGGCGAGAACCAACGGGCCTAGAGGAGTTGGTAATTTGGTACACCCCTGAACTGTTGAAATACAGATACCTTCAGATGAAGGGAACACAATAATTCTGAATTGCCTGCGGCCGGTCAGTTCAAGGATAATATCGAAAGGCCGTCACCCTTTTTAAGGGAAAAGCAGTCGCCCTTTTTAGGGGGGAAAAAAAAGGGAGGGAGAAAAAAATCGGACGAGAGGGTGTACAAGGTGTGCAAGCCAATCTTACCATGCCAATACTCGTCCACACTGTAGCGATGGAACCCCCCTCCTATGTGGTCATGCATGCCCCCTCTGGACATACACTTGAGGGTAAAGGAAGCCATCCCAAGGACCCTATCAGCCGACTGCTTCACATCCCCTCTCTGTGCCAGTCGTAGATGGCGCCGCAGCAGTATGTTGATCTCAGATGGCCTTGGAAATTTTGGAGCACCTCCAAAGCCCCCAAGCCGCCCATCATATTTTGACGCCAGCTGTGCATCACAAGGTCATCACACAGGCTCATCAACACTTGACAGCCAAAACCGAACCAGACTAGCCAAGCAGTTTCACGTGTAAAGGGATCGTCCTCCACTGTGCGGTCATCAAACTCTCATCGAACTCTAAACATGCCGCAAACAAATGCACAACAGCCCCCGTACCATTCAGTGAGATGACGGGCTCACAAACACTTAAATCCTGACAATTCAACACAATTCATCAAATCGATTGCATTCAAATGAACGAAGCAGCGTCGCAGTTTCACATCTAAAGGGATCATCCTCTGCTGTGTGGCCATCAAACTTTCATCGAACTCCAATGCCGCGAACAAATGCACAACAGCCCCCATACCATTCAGTGCGATAACAGGTGACCAAACAATTAAACCCTGACAATTCAACAAAATTCATCAAATCGATTGCATCCAAATGAATGAAGCAGTGTAGAAGTACATGATTGATTGCATCAAATTCATTGCATCAGTGTAGAAGTACATCCATCCTAGACTTTTGCCCAGTCGCTTTCCCCATCCTCATCCTGCCCCTCTGCCCTTCGTTCGTTGTTCCCATTCGCAGCAAAGTTCGTTACTCACACTCTTTTCGCTCTGAAGACAGAGAGTAAGCGTCCCAAATCCACAAACTCCTAGACTGACTGACCTGACTCATCCTGCTCTGAAGACAGAGAGAGTAAGCCCCTTCGTCGCCATTTGCAGCGAAGTTTGTCATTGATGCTGTTTTGGCAGCTGAATGGCCTCCAGAGCAGTGTTGCTGTGTGATTTGGCAGGTCCCTTCCCGCTCCCTCCCTCATCCTGCTCCTCTGCCCTTAGTTGCCATTTGAAGCAAAACTCTGCTACCGACAGTCGTGACACCCCTTTTGCTCTGGAGATCAAGAGTAAGCCCCAAAATACACAAAGTGACAGACTGACTGACCTGGCTTACACACAGCTGAATCGCCTCCAGTGCATCTTCATTGGCCATGTCCCTTGCTTCCGCCCACACTGACGTGGCTTCTGCTAGTTGCTGAATGGCCTGATCACCTCCTTCACGCAATTTGTCCGGTGACTTCTCCCATGCTTCCTTCACTCGCCTGCAAAAAATGACAGAAAACAAGACCTTCACAAGTGTTTGAGACTCATAACTGAATCTGCCAAGTCACAACCACAGCATCTGAGTCTCTGAGATACAGCCTCAAATCCCGTATTGACCCCACTGAGGCCAAGAACGGGTGATCCTCCAAGCTGTGTGAAGCAAAAGGGGAACAAGTTCACAACCTTTACACAGAAGGTAGGTGTATACTGGCAAACCGGCAATCCCAAACAAGATATAAGCCTGTCAGAACATGCGCATTTCCTCGTTCCACGTTCGAAGAGATTGGAACATGCAAGATTAAGGACCCCCTTATCACATAACAGCTGACAGGGAGAACCACCACATCACATAATAGCCGACGGGACTACGTGGAAAATAGCATAGTTGGATTGAGCAAAGATATAGCACAAGGCCAGCAGCCTTTTTAGTAGGTGACCAGGACAACATCAATGAACCCTAGTCGTCCGACCCCAACTTTGTCTTACATGAGTCTCTCTGCACCTGAGGTACAAACATCACCTCACAAGTTCGTCCTTTTGCAACTAAAACCCAGCTACTTGCAGTCGGCTGCACACTTCTCCCTCACCTAGTTTCTCACCTAGTATCTCAGCTGACAGGTGGCGCTGTAGTAGGATCCCCAGCTGCATACAGTTCTCTCTCACATTAGGAGGCTGCATAGAGTTCTTCGTGGCACAGTGCTCGAAGGGGGGGGCCATTTCTAAGAAGGAAAGAATAGAACAACAGTCGCTGGAGTCAAAACCCTTTATCTGGCAAGCACGCAGCAACAGCTCTAGAGAGTTCACGATGAAATCTCACAGCCTGGTAGGCACTCAGAGCAGAAGCATAGGAACCTAGTGCAAGAAAGGCCAGAGTCAGTAATATATTTTACAATTTTTACTAGAATAATAGTATAATCCCCATATGAATGGGTCCCACATGTTTGCAAAGTTGTAAACATTTCAAACAGGCTGACGACTCCCAAGAGCTCATATCGATGGAGTCATTTGGCACCTCGTCATCTTGGGGTACTTGCACCACAGTAATGTGCGGGCGTGAAGCTGGATTTATGCTGGAATTCCGCCGAGTATCCAACCAAATGAAAAATGTCCGTGCAGACAATTCAGCAGGGAAGCAGGTCATACATGTGTTGATAGATGCGCTGATTAGGAGCAGCAGGGGCAGAGCACGGGTTCATCCTTACTTCCGAGGAAGCAATTAATGCCGCTGTCTCAGGATGGGAAGGGAAACATTTTGAGAAACACCTCAGACAGGATATTTTACGAGGGGGAGTACAGAAAATACAACATCAGTCATCAGAGTCTACACCCTTCTTCTTAGTAGTAAAAATACAAGAGCAAGTCACCAGAGTTTCAACCCCTCTATCTGGCAAGCAAGCAGCAGCTCCAAAATGATGAAATCTGAATCCCTACACTATAAAATCACTAACGTGACAAATCTGAAATCCGGGCCGTTGTTGGTCCTACCGGCCCACGGCCCGGATCAACCGAACCATGTAACAAATCTGAAATCCCAGCCGTCGGGTCCTACCGGAACGATGAGCCGTATCAGCACGATCTTAAGATCTTAAGAGCGCGCATCAATCCAGGCCGTTGGCCCGGTACCTTGGGCGCGACGGCCGGGATTATTTGCCTGTTGGAGAGGGCCGCGGTACCTACCAGTGGTTTCTTGGCGCAGTACCTACCGGTGGGGTTTTGTTTTCGGGCAAACGGGTTCCCATAGGCTGTCCGTGCCTACCGGTGGGGTTTTGTGTTCGGGCAAACGGGTTCCCATAGGCTGTCCGTGATGGTTTCGTGGCCGCGTGCACTGTTTTTGGATGGGGGCGTGCCTTTTTGGTGGCGGCATGGGCAAATTCTACGGCGTGGGAAAGACCCACCCCTATGCTACTCTACTCTGTACTAGACTTCTACTTTCCTATCCTATGCTACTACACTCGACTTCGACTTTATTACTCTACACTACACTACCACACTCGACTTTGACTTGGCATGTGGATACACACACACACACGACATCCGGGCAGACTG